TAAATTTAGAATCGACCCTAATGACGTTTATAACTTTAATGAGACCGGTTTTGCAATAGGGTTAATCGCTATAGCGAAGGTGATTATAAGGAGTGATCTCTCCGGTCGGCGCTCACTTTTATAACCTAGAAATCGTGAATGGGTGACTATTAATTATTAAGTGTACGAATGCTTCGGGGTAGGCCCTCCCTCCGTGTGTGATTTTTAAAGGTAAGGTCTTTATTGAATCTTAGTTCGATTATCACGGATAACTATATGCGATACTATATATATTGGTCCCGGGCATATCAGAGGATGTGCTCTGATATAATGGTCTTTTGGCCGAGTGAGAGAATGTGCGCCCGGGCATATCCTTTACATCGATGGCCTTCTAGATAACTAGCGATTTAAAGTTAGTCCGAACGGTTAGACCTCTAATAAAATTAGACTTCGCTACCTTAAAAAGCTCTTTATTCTAACGACTTCTTCGCGTATAAAAGGGGAGTATTAACTTTTAATACTTAACGGACACGGAAGCTATCTAACCCCTAAATTCGACGAGATTTATAAGGATAACAAGGCTATACTAATCTATATACCTCCGCACTCCTCTTACCTTTTATAGCCTCTCGATATCGGCTATTTTACGGTATTAAAACGATTATATAGTCGGCTAACGTATTCGGTAAGCGAGTGACGCACCCCATCCAACTCATTAAATTTAAATGGATTTATCTCAACCAGAACGCCATTAAATTGATTTAACTAAAATGATTTATCTATCTGGACACGTCTATCTCCTATGCCCCGGCTGCCTACATATTCCACATGCTCGCCCAGCCCGTATAGGTGGTTATAAACCCTGCTTAACCTGCTCACGATAGGCATTAATACGCGCTACTTAGGTCTTAAATGGCTCTGAACGTAGCTCACGAACATTTTAAATTAAAAGGTCCCCTTCGTGATCTATCTGCCTTCGAGATCGAGTGCGCTTTTACTTCTGCTTCTCGTTAGCAGCGCGTAATTCCTTGTTTTCTTTAGCGAGTAAGATAGCACCTTATATTATAAGACGGAAGCCTTTTATAAGCTGGTTTAATGCACGATCTAACGGGCTAGGCGGGCTTCGAGATCTTATACGAAGTAAAGCTTTGATTAAAGAAGCCTATCGACGTAGTTATTTCTCTATAGCTAGTGTTTTTAGCGTAAAATTTCGACTTAATTCACTCCCCCGACTTAGGGGGTAGGGGTTCGAAGTCGAATATTAAGCTTCGAAATCACTTAATTAGGTATAAATGGTATAAACCAGCAGCTTTAAAGCTATTAATAATAGTCTCCGATTTAAAAGCTTCAGCTCGTGTAAGGGGGTATGCTTCGAGGAAGTTAAGTTTATTAATATAATTAATCCTGTTCCGCATCTTAGTTTTAACTATCCGACCGTACGATCGTTTTAACACCGTAAAATAGCCTATATTAAGAGGTTATAAAAGATATAATAAATGCGCTAGTATACAGATTAGTATCACTTTATTTCGCTCATAAATATCGTCGAATTTAGGTATTAAATGACTTCCGTGGCCGTTAAGTATTAAAAGCCGATACCTTCCCTTTATACATAAAGAAGTCGAAGGAATAAAGAGCTTTTTAAGCTAACGAAGTGCGGTTTTATTAGGTCTAGCCGTTAGGACTAACTTCGAAATGCTAATCCTCCCGGGGGCTGTTAAACTATGATTTAAAAAGACTTTACCTTTTAAAATCATATTTAGAGGAAGGACCTAGCTAGAAGCATTCGTACATTTAACCACTATCACCTATTCACGATTTATAGGTTATAAAACCGGCCTCCGACTATAGTATTCACTCCTCGTAATAACCTTCGTAGTTATAGTTAATCCTAACGCGAAACTAGTCTCGTTAAAGTTATAGATATTATTAGGATCGATTCTATATTAAAGGATTATCTTTTAAATTAAATTAAACCACTCCCTAAAGATTTTAGGGTCTTTATATTTCGCACGCTCGTAGTTATACCGTTTTAAGAATCGGGAGGAGAGGAGAGGATGCCGTTATATAAATTTCGTAACCTAGTTTTCGCCGACCGAAAGAACCGGGGTAGTTCCACGCTTTTAAAGAAGAAGATCCGCTATTTCTCGTACTATAGAGTGCCGGGGGGCCCCTCCACGAGAATCTATAGAGAGTATCTATTTTTAAAGAGATTCCTCCTCGAGTTCTATTAATATATGACTATTAGCGCGTGTTTTAGGACGAAAGGTATCACCAGCGAGGCGGCGTTATAAGGTAGAGCGGGGGACTTCGAAACGGCGCGCCACTTCACGAATTAAAGAGATTTCTTAATTCTTAAAAGCCTAGATAGCTAGTAAGATCCTACCCTCTTACTCTATTGAATTTATACAGCGTTAAGAGCGAATTAGTGGCATGGTGGGTGGTTAAAGAAGAAGGGGTTAAATTAATTGACGCGTTTTGGATAGGTGGCCCACTCGGTAGTGGAATACGTTATATCCTTTAAGATTTTTACTACTATTACTATAGTAAAAGGCTGGTTTCTACACTACGTTAATATTATTATAGCCTTTATCTATACTAAATTAAAGGAACTAATTAAAATTAAGCTTCTAGAGATATAGTAGGAGGAATTTCCTAGAAAAATCGGACTACTTATAAAAAATAATCTACGAACTAAAGTAGAGGAGCCCCCGGGAATAGTATTAATTACTTTATAACGTGCTACTCTCTCTGAGATTTTTATTAAGGAAGTACTTCTATCTAACGTATTTCACTACCGAGTCGGCCACCCCACCTAAAACGCGTCATTAATTTTAACCCTTTATCTTTAACCACCCCCTATGCCACTAATTCGCTCCTAAAGCTCTAGAAATTCAATAGAGTAAGAGGGTAGGATTCTTTTAGCCATTTAGGCTTTTAAGAATAAAGAAATCTCTTCTATTCGTGAAGTGGCGCGCCGATTTAACGTACCACGTTTAACTCTCTAAGACAGACTACGTGGTCTTTAACACCGCGCGATTTCTCGCGTAAATTCGCATAAACTAACAGGAGTTAAGGAGGAATCGCTTTAAAAATAGATTCTCTCTATAGATTCGTATAGAGTAGCCCCCCGCCCTACTACTATACGAGAAATAGCGAATCTTCTCCTCGAATAGCGTAGAACTACCCCGGTTCTTTCGGTCGGCGAAAATTAGGTTATGAAGTTTATTAAAAGAAACCCTCTTCTTTTATCCCGGTTCTCGAGACGTTATAATTACGATCGCGCGAAATACGAAGACCTAAAAATCATTTAAGCGTGGTTCGATCTTATTTAAAAAATAATCCTTTAATTTAGAATCGACCCCGATAACGTTTATAACTTCGACGAGACTAGTTTCGTGATAGGGTTAATCGCTACGGCGAAGGTAATCACGAGGAGTGAACTCTCTAGTCGGCGCTTAGTTTTATAACCTAGAAATCGTGAATAGGTGACTACTACTAAGTGTACGAATGCTTCGGGATAGGCCCTCCCTCCGTATATAATTTTTAAAGGTAAAGTCTTCCTTAAATCTTAGTTCGACGGTTTTCTAGATAACTAGCGGTTTAAAGTTAGTCCGAATGGATAGACCTCCGATAAAATTAGACTTCAGTGGCTCGAAAGGCTCTTTATTCCGACGGTTTCTTTACGTACGAAGGGGAGGTATCGACTTCTAGTACTCGACGGACATAGAAGCCATTTAACCCCGAAATTCGATGAGATCTGTGAGTAAAATAAGGTGGTACCGATCTGTATGCCACCTCACTCCTCTTACCTTTTATAGCCTCTCGATATCGGCTGTTTTACGGTGTTAAAACGATCGTATGGTCGGCTGGCTGAAATGAAAATGCGGACTCGGATTAACCATATCGATAAACTTAACTTCCACGAAATATACCCCCTCGCACGAATCGAAGCTTTTAAATCGGAGATAATTAAGAATAGCTTTAAAGTAGCTGGTTTAGTACCTTTTATACCTGATTAAGTGATCTCGAAGCTAGATATTTAACTTCGAACCCCTACTCCCCCTCCGAGTAGGGGGAGCGATTAGGACCCTAAAACGCCCTCGAACTACGTATAATTATAAAAGTAAGCTTCGTTAATTAAAGCTTTACTTCGTACTAGATCGAGGAGCCCTCCGAGCCCGCTAAATTACGCGATAAATCAGGTTTTAAAAGCCTATTAAATCACTATGTAGTCTACTGCTTTTCTCGAGAAAGAAGTCAGCGATTTACGCGCTGCTAACGAGAAGCAGAAGTAAAAGCGGGCTAGATCTCGAAGGCATATACTCTCCGAAGAAGGACTCTTAGTCGAAGAAGCCTCTGCATTAATTATGCAGTAACAGGAAGCAGGTGAAGCACCTCCCGCGGATCCCAGTGTACCTAGAGAATCGGCTATTCAGCCACGTACGCCCCCCCCCCCCCCCGGGGGGTGTGGAATATGCAGGTTACCAGGGCATAGAAGAGAAACCTGTCCAGATAGACCGATTAGTTAGTTGAATTAATTTAATGGCGTTTTCGTTGAAATAATTGCAATTAAAATTCATAGGTTAGATTGGGTGGCCGACTCGGTAGTGAAATACGTTAGTTATTTAATGTTTATTTACATTAAAAATAAAAAGACGCTTTCTCATCGTATAATATGCATCACTATTAGTCTGCTTCAGAAATATATTTTAACTACTACACCACAAATATTTCACATTATCTATTAAAACTAACCTTTAATAAGATTTTTCTGCTCGATACTAAGAAACCTAAGGTGACGATATACGAGGTATTAGCTTATAATTTAATTTCTTTATATTTCGAAAGTCTTTATAGTAAAAGATAAGAAAAATTTAGAGGTATACCAGAACAGCTATAAATAACAGTATTTTAAGAAGCTGAATCATCTAATTTATACGTCCGAAATAGGAAAGGCGGGGAGAAATTATGCATTTAAGGGTCGATGAGGGTCGATGCGGGTGACCCTCAAGGGACCCTTAGAGGGTCAGGGTCAGGGTCAGGGTCGGTAAGGTTAGACCCTGACCCTCTGAGGTGCGGGTGGAGGTTCCTAATCTCGGACCCGCGGGGCGGGTGAGTGCCAGGTCTAGTCGTAAGTCACCGTAAAAGGCGCCCCAAAACATCTGCTTCACTTACTTCCCCTTATAGGGTAATTATAGGGTAATCCTTAACATTGCTTCTCTCTTAGTTAATCCCTCGGGCGTATAAACGTCCACTCCCTTTTCACACTAATTCCTCGCTCAACCGAGCACTCATCAGACCGGTAAACACGAGCCCAGTCCTCGGGTGTAAAGTGACGATACTTTAAAGCCCACTAGAGTCGTTTCGCCGCGTGTTCATTTATCTTTTAATTATGGGCGCCATAAGCAACGCCATTTTCTCATATTTCCAGCATTAAGAAGACGGCGAATCGACTCATATTTAACCTATAAAAAAGGATTAGAAATGGTTAAGATTTCGTAGAAAAGTAGCTTAACTTTATGCCACACTTCAGTAAGCATATCTTCGCGAGTGATCTTCGGATCCTCAGCGATAGCGCGCTTTAATTTCTCCTAATCGGCTTCATCTAGCTTTCGAGGACGTCCAGAGCGTGGTTTCGTGACTCCGCCGATCCTCTCGCGGTCCTTTTAAATGGTATATGGAATCCCATATAGAGATACGAAAGGATATCGCTTTTAAATTCGCTTATATCCCCATCCAGCAGCGTCATGAAGCTCACAAATACGCCCACGAAGCGCAGGGGTAAGCTCTGATCTAGGGGCCATCGGTAAATATCAAAGAAATAGCAATTTAATAGAGATTTAGTGGAGGGGACGCGTAAAAACACGAGATAATACTAAGTCTCTTAGCGCGCTAGAGAGCGGGCGGTAAGGGCGGTGAACATAGCCCCACTTTAGGGAGTGTTAAAACTTTAGAGGTGTCACTGTATTTACTAATTTCCACCAGCACTATCTCTTACTGCCATTAAAGCTTCATACTCGTTATCAGCTAATTCCCTTTCTAATTAGGCCTACTATTCGACTTATAAAGCCTTGGCTTATTTTACTTATAGTCTCATTAGCTTCTTAGCATCAGCATCTAGTCTTTTTTTAATCTACTTATTTACATTAGTAGGGCCTAGGGCCGAGCGCTTGGTTCTAAGAATAGCCCGTGCATTTTTTAGAGCATTTACTTAATCAATAGACTGCGCCAAAACCCGCAAACCCGGAAACCCGAAAAAACCTAACCCGTAAATGGGTCGGGTTTCGGGTCGACTTTCATAACCCGCAATGGGTTTCGGGTTAGCTTAGGTAACTCGCGCGGGTTTACGGGTTACCCATGCGGGTTACTAAACAGTGTAAACATAGGAAGAGTCGTATCTACATAAATTATGCATTTCTTACCTATATCTTATTATATTTCCTTTTCACCTTAAGGGGGTAAAAGCTCCTATAGCCCGCTCTAATTCTAATACACCACTACTATTTCTAACGGCTATCAGAAATTACTTATGCGTGAAAAGCCACTTTAGCCTATACTATTTCTGACCGCGGTCAGAAATAGTGCCTAAAACCTTCTTCGACTACTACTATTATACTATATTTCCTATGTATACTTAGATTATAAATAACACAGTTATTAATTTAAAGCTAATGGTATTCCTATTTATCGTTATCCTGCCTTATACGTTTCCGGGATCTAATAAATCCACGTACCTAAGTATTCCCTTCCTTAGGTATAGGTAGTGGGATATCACACTCTAGAACTTAATCCTCGTTACTAGTTAATAGAGTAGGCTGCTTATCCTCCCTTCTATTACTAATCTCTACTATTATCCTATCTTCCTTATTATCGCTAATCGGATTAAACTCGCATATATAAAGACTATCATTCTGCTCTTCGTTAGCTGTCTCGACCTTATCGCGAGAGAAGAATTCCTTCAGAAACGTATACTCGGCTTCTTCGAAGTTAAACCTCGACGTATAAAGGTATATCATAAGATCCTAAATAGTGTCGGTGTTAAGTCTACCTCAGCGGTAGTGATAGATATCCCGAGCAGAGTTAAACAGCCTTTTAACGCCCGCCCTAGTTACTAGAATCGAAAGTATATCTCGGGCTAGGCTTATAAGAGCTAGGAATCGATGTTAGTTATCCTTCTAGAATAGAAGGGGGGATATATTAATCGTATCTATTATATATTAGTACTATATTTTATAATTCTAGTGGTCACACTTTATATATACCACTTTTAAGATATTATAAGAGCTTATTACGCGATAGGTTATTAGGTTACTAACTTCCGAGCATTATATCGAGGCGAGACCCTAACCTTTTCGAAGACTAGGACGGTAGAGACGTCCGCGTACTTCTAAGACGTGTCTTATATAGTATAAGGTAGTCTTAAAAGCTACGTCGATACCTCTAAGCCTATTACTCTTCCCATTTATCGGTTTAAAAGAACCGAAGCTTATTAGTAGGAGTAAGCATAGTTCTAATTATATAAAGATCACCTCGGATATTATCTGTTTCGGCGTAATAGTCCTTAAGTTTCTACTATATAGCTTTAAGAGCCTATAGCATATTTATTTTCTAAGGGACCCTTTTACGTCGGAGCTATATAATAGATTACTTAAGGTGCTCGAAGAGCTTATTATAGATCTTAAACATATGATAGGTAGTGGTATCCTTTATCTTTAATAGTTTAAGGGTGAATTTAAAGAAAGGCTAGGTGATCTAAAGAAGGTACTCGATCTATCGCTATTTATCGTTATCTAACGTAAGGTCCGATCGCTTATACTTATCATAAAATGGCGTAAAATAAGGGCGAAGCCGCTTTATACGCCGGAGCATAAGAAAAGTAGAGTTCTATCGCGTTTTAATATCTTATATTAGCGCGAGTTTAGCTGATTTAGTCTAAAAGGCGTAAAATGTATCCCGTCGCTAGGGGCTTATATTCACGTATATAGTGAGGTTTCGAACCTAGTAAAATAGTTAGTAAGGTATAAGAAACGGTATTAATATTACGAAATCAGATATAACTAACCTTACTTAAAGTGTTAATAATCTCTCGCTTATGCTGCCTCGCGTTCGTTCGGGCGGACTAAGACCGCTGTTCTGTCCACTAAGTCTCTGTTAACTTATTCACTAGGCTCGCTTTTATATATCTAAGTAACTCATTAAGACTTAGCTAAAGGATATAGGTAATACATAAAACTCTAATAATAGTGGTATCTTCTGGCATTACTTATTAGAGACTTTCGACTAATGTTTTATTATTCGAAGTATTATCGGTTATGATCGTAAGTACCTTATATTTAATATTATACCTCTTAAGAATATCCGTAAGTATAACACTAAGGTTTACACTAGAGTGGGTTCCGTAGAGAGGTTCGAATCTAAGAAGGATCTCACGGTACTACTAGTCCTCGTTAATAAAATAGCTAGTAATTACTATAAAGGCCTATACGAACGGTAAGGTCTGGTAATTAAGTGTAACGGATAGTTTTATATTAGGTAGCCTCCGTAGTATACTCTGCTAGCGCTCTTATATAGTGCTTTAAAGACGGCGTCTGATTATTTTCGCGGAGGGGATTTTAGGTAGGGAATCCGCTGCTTATATAAGTGCGACTAATGTATGAAATTTAGGGTGCTTAATTAACCGGAATAGGAGGCGAGCGACTATAAGAAATCGTAGTAGCTAGTCCTCCTAGGCTATCTAGTTAAACGTTATCCGTGCTAAGGAATCCTAGTTCTAGAAGGTAGATATATTAGTAATAGTAAAGTACTAAATAAGAAAGGTATAAGCATATTATGGCCTTTATAAACCGAGTGATCCCCGACTTCTGAGTATAGTGTCGAGCTACCTTAGTATAGCTAGTACCTTTAAGGTGCTTTCCTATCGTAGAGGTGCCTTAGCGTGCTATTATCCCTAATAATAGGGATTAGGGATGCTCTAAGATTACTTTATATCGCTTATACATTACCTTAGGTGCGCTATCGGAGCTATATGCGACCTAATCGAATTTATCCTATGATTTTAACTAATGCTTCGAGTCCTATTTAATCTTAGTATTACTAGGACCCCTATATTATGTTCTAATCCACTAATCTATAAATTCTTTATTAACCATTTCGTTATAAAGAATAAATGCCTTTCTGCGGTCTAGTCCTACACGTATAAGACCTTTAGGGACTAGGGGTAGAATTAGTGGGCGTAGAAACTTAGGGTTAAATGAATCGATTATAAGCTGGCTAGTAGAGGGTTTAGAAATGGTAGCGAGCTACTCGTTCTTAGGCGTAAGGTAGGTAAGGTTAATATCACTATTATATAGAGATAATAAAAACGCGTCAGAATATTAGCTTTAAGATATAGTATCGGGGAAGGGTAGAGTTAAAGATTTTAGTAGAAGGGCCTCACGTATAGGAAGAATCTTAAAGACCCTAGTAATATATCCTAGGGTACTATATCGCGTTTAAATGCGGGTTAATACATCGTAGTACTAAACCTCTACATAATAATAATTAGCTTATCTGATTTAGCTTTAGTGGGTAGAGCCCGCAGAAACCCATATAAAACCGCAGAAACCCGCGTTAATGCCTATAATAACCAGTAAACCCCGCAGTATAACCCGGATAACCCGCGAAATAACCCGCAGAAACCCGAATAACCCGCGAAATAACCCGCATAAAAACCCGTAAGAACTAAGAAAATCACGAAAACTATAACAACCTATTAAAATATATATCTATAAAATATATATTTCTAACTCCACCTATATATAGTTTCTAGCTTATAGTACGATAACCCTAATAAAGACGTAATTTCTAACCGCGGTTAAAAATAGTAGTATTCTTAAGGGATCTTTTAATGCATAGATAGTTTCTGACCGCGGTCAGAGATAGCAGTAGTCTCAAGGGAGTTTTCAATGCATAGATAATTTCTGACCGCGGTCAGAAATAGCAGTAGTCGAAGGGTGCCTTAGACGTATAAACAAAACCGCCGTAGATTACTGTATTTTATTAGTATAAATCAGCATTTTTATACACTTCCCCATGGCTTAATTAGGAAAATTATGCAGCCGCGGGTTTTTACGGGGCGGGTTGCGGGTTAGTCGAGTCTACCCATCGGGTTTACGGGTTCGGGTTACGGGTCGACTTCTCTTGCCCATTCTCGGGTTTTAGCGCAGTCTATTAATCAATGGAAGTACGAGCCCTCTTTAATTCCATTTTTATAAGAGTAAGTTATTAGGTTAAAAGCATATTAGCATCCATGCTTCGCTTTAGACTTCGGCAGAACCCATTTTAGGTCGGAACCTCCGACCTAAAACCTAACCCAACCCAATAACCTAATAACAACCCATTTAAACCCATTTTTACATAAAATATATGTCTTAGCGTTCATAACGATGCTGAGTCATTCAAATAAATGACTATTTTTTATAACTGTTCTGGTTTATTCATTAAATATTACTATATTATCACGATATTAAGTTAGAAAATTTATGTAATTACTCTGAATTTAAAGCTAATAGGTTTTATATTATATTAATTACCGATAAAAATTGACATTAATCATGGTATAGTGGTGTTCTATTAATTCAAGCATTTATTAACTGTAGACTGTTAAAAATATATATTTATGGCAGAGGGGAGTATATATATATTATAGGATAACTATAAATATAAATAGAAATATCTTATTCTTATTTAATTTCATATATAATTAATATTACACTAAAGCTATATTTCTCTTCTTTTATATTCAACTTTTTATATGTGCTCCGAATTATATTTTCTGACCGCGGTCGTAAAATCACTTCTGGGAGGGGGGGGGGGGGGTGGTTAGACCTTGGTAAGTGAAACATTTTTAAGGGATCTTCCGGGGGAGTGGGTTATGAATGGGTCCTCTCGGGTTTCGATGGGTCCCGTTAGGTCCTATTAGGTTCTCTTAGGTTAGACCCATTTAAATAGAGCTTATATAGCCAATCATATAATATCATAGCTTATACCTTTTAATCTATCTACTTTACTATAGGACTAAGGTGTTTACCGTTCATATACCCTTCTCTTATAAGTATATACTCTCTCTGCCTCTCCCCCTTACCTCTATAGTATTCCCCTTTTCGGTCGTAATGTCCTAAAGCCAGCATTCTAACTTTTTACCTACTCTTTACGATACGGATACAGATAACCTTAGCTATCTTATACCTCTTCTCGAGTTCTAACCCCATCTAGTAGCCACCTTATAATTAAGCCTTTTAATGCTATTAACACTGACTTCCTTCGGCCCTCTAACCTTCTACCGATTCCACACTCTCTTACTCGCGTTAGCCCCGATCGGAGAAAGGCATATATGTTTTATGATAATATGGCATATAAAGAATGGGTTAAGTGGTGGCTATAAACCGACTATAGGCAGAAAAGTAAGATTTCCTAGGATTTAAATCGTAATTTAAATATATAGAGTAACTTCGACTAAGTTACCTATACTAAAGATAGTGCGCTAAAGGTAATGTATAAGCGCTGCTTAAAGATCCTAGAGTATCCCTATTCTCTATCACCTAGCGGAAAGGGCTATTATAGTATATTAATAATATTAAAGCATTTAAAGATAGTAGGCTATCGTAAAGCTAAATAGGGAGGGAAAGGAGAAATTACCTAGTTCCTTTAAAAGTAGGATCTCCTTACCTCTTTATTTAGTTATCCGATTTCCCTAACACACCTAGATATATAGGATCACGGCTTACGGGAGGCTCCTTTTTCATAGTTAGTATAGGAAGACTATCTTCTCTAATTTCTCACCCTTAATCGACTCCTATTCTACCTTATCGAACATCTAACATTTCATAAGCTATTCCGATTAGCCCGCTCTGCACTATCTCTCCCTCCGATACCCTCTACTACTATAATACGTCGTCGTTTATATAATAATATTATAGAACGACAGAAATCTATCCTCTAAACACTACCTAACGACGTAAAAATCTCGATCGCATTAGATTACTAGACTTCTCTATATAACTAGGCGTTTATAGCTATTACTGGCTATTTTATTAATAATAACTAGGTATACTAAGAGGTTCTACTTAGATTTAAACCACTTTATGGCTCCTATACCGGTTTAAATCTAAGTGGTATACTCCTTAAAACTCTAGTTAAGCATAAGATCTAGGATCGGGTATTTAGTCATAACTAATAATATAACGAATAATAAGATAATGGTTAAAGCTATTTAGTAGGCGCTCTCTAGCGATGTGATAGTAATCCGAATACCCTATCTTACCTATGTTATCTAGCTTTATTTAAACTAGCTCCTTAATCGTTTAAAGGCCATCCCTCTAAATGAGAATGCAGAAATAAAGTGGACTAACCAGAAGTCATCTGTAGTAAAGGTAAATGCTCAGCACTAGACACGGAGGATCTTATACACCTTAAATAAGGTCCGTTATCTTATTATGTATATCTATATAAGTCCGTAACGCTAGGTCTTTCTCTGACTTTAAGAAAAGGGATCCCAGCTTATTCTAATCTAGGACGTAAGGACTCGGTGGAATTCTACCTTAATGCTTCGTCGTATAAAGAGACTATAGAGTTTCTTCTAACCCTTCTGTGAGGAGTATGACTAACTATAAGGAGATATTACTTAATAATTAAGAATAGCGTTAAATTAACTATCTTCTATAAATCACTCGGCCATTCTTTAACTACATAACAGAGCTCTCGAAGATAAAGGAGGTCATAACACATCTTATCTTTAAGATTTATAATGCCCTCTTTAATCACTTTTTGAAAGCAGAGGCGCTGCTTAAACGTAAGCGTGTTCTATGGAAATCAGATATGCTTAAAGCACTTATAGCTAGTCGCTTAAAACTTAATGAGTACTACTCTTAAGCCGATAATCTTAAAGGACATATCTATATAGTTAGGATAATGCTAGCACCTAATAGCAGATTTTAGTTCTTTCTATCTAATAATTAGGAGCCTCACTAGCGTGATACCTACCGGAAATCGTTCTAGGAATTATTAATTCCGTATTAAGAGCGTCTTATAATAAATTAAGGATCGACTAATACTCTAATAATAGTATTATCTAGTTTTAGGCTAAATAAGATGCTAAAGAGTAATAAGATATCCGTAAAGCTAGCTAGTAATAAGATGACTTAATACCTCGATAGTGGTATGTTCATAATCTATTTCTTCCCTATATAGGATAATACTAATATATTTATACTACTAGATCTAATTAATATTAAACCTCTTTAATTCTAGCGGGAGAACTAATCTCGTTTCCCTACGATCGCGTTACTTACTCGTAATATTCTCTCTATCCTAGTAACTAGTGCTAGTGTCGAACGGCTCTTTAATACTGCTCGGGATGTTTATCACTACCGCCGTGGTCGTCTAAAGTCCGAAATAATCGAGGAGCTTATGTTATTTCTATATATAATAAGATTTAATATTAAGGATACTAAGTAAGGTAAAGTAGCTCGAGTAGTTCTTTACACTAGCTAAGATCGAGTCGGCGAAGGAGCAGAACGATGAATATATAGAGGATACTAAGCTTAACCTAATTAGTGATAATGAAGAGGAAGAGGGAGTAGATAATAGACCGCGAGAGACATCTCCTTATTTAATAGATATAGATATAGAGGTGACAGAGCCAGAGTTACCAGAGACTATAACTCAGAGACGGGCCCCAGGGAGGAAGCGTAAGAGCAGAGCAGATAAGGATTTTAAGTAATATTAGAAAAATATATCCTGATTTAATCATTTAATTTATTCTCAGTTTTTTCTAGAAGAGCGCTGTAAGCAAAATACTTAATATTATAAGCAAAAAAATGCATTAATTATGCAGTTATACGCTAGAAGTCTGTTTATTTGGTTTACACTATATTAGGGCCCTAATGGGTTACCTAATGGGTTTTAGGTTATAGCTCATAACCCAAAACCTATCGTTAGGCCGAAGCAATGGACCTAAACCCCATTTTAGGTTAGGTTGGGTTAGGTTAGGTCCGGGTTAGAGTGGGTTATGCCGAAGTCTACTCCCTATATCCGCGAGCGGATATGTGAGCTAAAGCGATCAGCAAAATGGGGTGCTAAACGTATCCAAAAATACGCTTTTCCCAATATTCCTCTCTCGACTATCCACTATACCTTACGGCAGGGCGCGAAACGCTGTCACGGTGTATCTATTACTCGCTCTAGGGCACCTCGTAAGCTGACGGAGGAAGACCGAGACCGTGTGTACGATATAATCCAGAATAACCCTAGTATTACCCGTGAAGATCTACTTACTGAGGTTAATTATAAGGTTAAGGCCTTCTTAATCTAGAGCTTAACGCACGAAATGGGGCTCTATAAATAGCGGAAGATGGAACGGCCTTATCTTATACCGATTCATGCTATGAAGCGTTTAAATTAGGCTCTTACCTACCGCCATTTTACACCGGAAGATTAGAAGAGGGTTTTCTGGTCAGATGAAATAATAATTAAACGCGGCTAAGGTGCTAGGAAAGAGTGGACATTTATCCCTCCTAAAGGACAGCTCGAGGAACGAGATCAGGGCGTTTAAATGACTCTTTTAAAAGGAAAACAGATAAAACAAATGTTTTAGACCTATTTCTTAGGTGCTCCACGAAAGATTGGCCTTATACCTCTATTTAGAGACCCTAATGCGACACGGAAGGGTATTATACAAGAGGTTATCTATGATTTATATCAGAGAATCCTGCCTACTTTACCTATAAATCCAGATGCTATTTTCCAGCATAATAACGCGCCTACACATACAGCGTATATCGATAAGGGCCTCCTTCGTGAGATAAATATAACCGTGATAGAGTGGCCTCCATATCCACCTAATTTAAACCTAATTAAGAACCTCTGGGCGTTATTAAAAACCGATATATTAAAGCTACGACCCTGGCTCCGTGATATGCCTAATAATGAGAATACGTGGGGAGAGCTAGTAGATGCTGCACAGGAAACATAGGAGAAGTTAACAATTCGTCACTTTATCAATCTAGCTGAGACTATGCCGCACCATGTGGAAGAGGTTATTAAATATGAAGGCTGGTATACTAGCTACTAAGTAGATAGGAATTCAGGGGGTTTATACTGGCGGAAAAGAAGTGGGTCTTATGTACTAGGGTATAATACTAATGATCACTGACTGTATATATTAAGAATATATTAGGAAGCATGTTCAGATTACATTAAAGTGTGAATCAGCGTCTTTTTATAGATAATTTAGGAGGCAAATATAAGATAATCGATGATATTCCATTATCTCATGATTTATGGCGATTTAGAGGTGAGTCATATTATAGTTTACTAGATTTAATATATCCATAGATGTATTAATATTATCAGTAATTTATATATGACTTCCTTCACACCATTATACTCTGCTATGATATACTATTATACCAGGATGCCCCTTAATCCTTATATATATATATAGAGATTATAGGTATATACTATATTACTATATAGTCTCATTAAAACTAATATATGATTAAAACCTTATAGGATAAAATATTATATTCAGAAAGAGTGCTTTATAACATTTTTTAGTCTTTATAAAGTATTTAGTCTCGCTAGATCTATTAAAGACTTATGCAGAGTATTATTAACATTCTTTATCAAGAACTCAGTCAGCATATACTTAGAAGGTATTTAGGTTAACGTATTTCACCCCCAAGTGGCGCACACCCCCAAGTGACGCACCCCATCCAAAACGCGTCAATTAATTTAACCCTTTCTTCTTCAACCACCCACCATGCCACCAATTCGCCCCTAAAACTCTAAAAATTCAATAGAGCAAGAGGGTAGGATCTTACTAGCTATCCAGGCTTTTAAGAATCAAGAAATCTCTTTAATCCGTGAAGTGGCACGCCGTTTTAATATATCCGAATCCACCTTCCGTCGCCGCCTTCATGGTATACTAAACCTCGCGATTTCTCGTGTTAATTTACGTAAATTAACATAAACTGAAGAGGAATCTCTTAAAAAATGGATTCTCTCTATAGATTCTCGTGGAGCAGCCCCCCGGCCCTCTATGGTACGAGAAATGGCGGATCTTCTCCTTAAATAACGTGGAACTACCCCGGTTCTTTCGGTCGGCGAAAATTAGGTTATAAAATTTATGAAACGGCATCCTATCCTCTCCTGATTCTCGAAACGGTATAACTACGAGCGTGCGAAATGTGAAGACCCTAAAATCATTAGGGAGTGGTTTAATTTAGTTTAAAAGATAATCCTTTAATATAGAATCGATCCCGATGATATCTATAACTTCGACGAGACTAGTTTCGCGATAGGATTAACTATAACTGCGAAGGTTATTACGAGGAGTGAATACTATAGTCGGAGGCCGGTTTTATAACCTAGAAATCGTGAATAGGTGACAGTGGTTAAATGTACGAATGCTTCTAGCTAGGCCCTTCCTCCGTGTATGATTTTTAAAGGTAAAGTCTTTATTAAATCATGGTTTAACGGCCTCCCGGAGGATTAGCGTTTCGAAGTTAGTCCTAACGGCTAGACCTCTGATGAAATCGGACTTCGTTAGCTTAAAAAGCTCTTTATTCCTTCGACTTCTTTACGTACGAAGGGACGGTATCGGCTTTTAATACTTAACGGCCACGGAAGTCAGTTAACACCTAAATTCGACGAAATTTATGAGCGAAATAAAGTGATACTAATCTATATGCCAGCGCATTTATCATATCTTTTATAACCTCTTAATGTGGGCTGTTTTACGGTATTAAAACGATCGTACGGTCGGATGGTTAAAACTAAGATGCGGAACGGGATTAATCATATTAATAAACTTAACTTCCTCGAAGCATACCCCCTTACACGAGCTGAAGCTTTTAAATCGGAGACTATTATTAATAGCTTTAAAGCTGCTGGTTTAGTACCTTTTACACCTAATTAAGTGATTTCGAAGCTTAATATTTGACTTCGAACCCCTACCCCCCCCCCCCTAAGTCGGGGGAGTGAATTAAGTCGAAATTTTACGCTAAAAACACTAGCTACAGAGAAAGAACTACGTCGATAGGCTTCATTAATCAAAGCTTTACCTCGTATAAGATCTCGAAGCCCGCGTAGTCCGTCAGATCGTGCATTAAACCAGCTTATAAAAGCCTTCCGTCTTATAATGCAAGGTGCTATCTTACTCGCCTAAGAAAACAAGGAATTACGCGCCGCTAACGAGAAGCAGAAGTAAAAGCGCACTCGATCTCGAAGGCAGATACCCGGCGAAGAAGGCCTCTCAGTTCAAGAAGCCTCTGCATTAATTATGCAGTAACAGGAGGTAACTTAAGGACCTCCCCCCGGCCCTAGCATACCTGGAGAATCGGCTATTCAGCCACGTACGCGGCCCCCCCGGGGGTGTGGAATATGTAGGAAGCCAGGACACAGAAGAGAGACATGTCCAGATAGGCCATTCAGTTAGTTGAATTAATTTAATGGCGTCATGGTTGAGATAAATGCATTTAAATTTAATGGGTTAGATGGGGTGCGTCACTTGGGGGTGTGCGCCACTTGGGGGTGTGCGCCACTTGGGGGTGTGCGCCACTTGGGGGTGAAATACGTTATTTAACCTTTCCTTCTATTATTACTTATGGTATATAATTTTAATATGCTTTAATCTCGAATGAAATTCTGGATTCCCAGCTAATCTCTTAGCTGAATTATTATTAACTAAGATTTCTGGTAACTATACCAGTAGTGTATCCTAATTCTAACTGTATACTTAAATCATTAAATATATTAGCTAGGTGTATAGCTTCCTCAGTGGCCTCTTTTAAAGCTATATACTCTGCTTCGTGGATACTAAGTGCTAATAGTTTTTCATAGCTAAGAATCTCAGCTTATAGGATTATTTAATTCTATATCTAGGGATAAACTAAATATATAGCCGGAAGTAGATTTTCTTTAATCTAAATCATATCCCTAGTCTAAATTAGAGTGTCCCTTAATATATAGATCTTTTCCTAAGCAGTTATATACTAAACCTAAATAAGGATATACTAATAGATATCTCCAGATCCTATTAAGGGCAGTAAAATGCTCCTTACTAGGGTTAATTATATATCTAGCACAGTATATAGTAGTAACGTATTCAGTAAGCGGGTGGTCCATATAACCCAGTGGTCCACCCCGAAACACATAGTAAATGCGATATCTACTACACATATATCTCAACAACTAACGTCTTTGCTTTATTTAATTACTTACTGATAGCTACCGATAAGCATTCTTGGTATTATATATCAATCTCGAATAAATCAAAAACTTGCATTATTGCGGTATCGAAAATTACACGGCAAAAACTCTAGAGTATATATAAACCTCACTCACAAGTTTACTAAATTTCTTTAAACTCCCTATAGTGTAGAGGTGGCATATAAAAAGCATTCAGCTACAAGGAAAAGCCCACACAGACCATCGTTATTTAAGATATCAAATTATAATTTAAGTCTAAATAAGTATAGCTCTTACTTTATTAAATAAAGTAACGTATTTCACCACCGAGTGGATCATACCACCGAGTGGATCACACCACCGAGTGGATCAGCGACACGAAAACACGTCCATGAATTACCACACCACTTCAACCACCCACTATGCCACTAATTCGCTCCCGATCCTCTAGTACTTCCCTTCGCCGATTCGAAACCCGGTTTCGTCCTAATTATAGATCTCGTGGGGTAGGAATTAATGCTCCTCTATAACCCGGGAAAGGTTATTATACTAAAGGAATAAAGGGCTAAATTCCTCGCTATCTATCCTTGATTTCTCCTTCGTTTTTTAGTTAATATAATTAAGATTAGGGGGTAATCGCTCAATGAAGCGATAGGCCTAATTATGACCGATAACCTGAGCCGAACCCGCGTTTTTTTAAAAGCGTATTAGCAGCCTTTTCCACTATATCCGGGGGAGGGTATATAGAGGAAATATCTAGGATTTTAGCCCAATTAATTAATGCTTTTTTCTAAATTTTATTCAGAGATCTGCTTCCTTTCGCGCGGTCGGAAATAGTCTGGCGACCGCGAATCCTAGCTCTCTGCAGATGACATAGAACGTCGAATTCTCGCGCTAATTTAGCGATATTAGGCTTCGTAGCTTAGTGGAAGCATTAGACTGCTTCCTGGAGTCTTTTCTCGGTATTTTCGGTTAGAATTAGCATCGTAAAGTAGTAGTAAAATATATGGTAAATGGATAATTTATTAAAAATGTGACGTTCGGTGGGTTACTGACGTTTAGTGGGGCGCACTAACACCACTCTCGGTGCGTGTTAGGCGCGTGGCACGATTAGGAACTATC